GCCTTACTAGTAGTAACAATGTTCGCTACTAGGAACAAGTGCCACGCTACTAGTAACAAGTGCCTTACTAGTAGTAACAATGTTCGCTACTAGGAACAAGTGCCACGCTACTAGGAGCAAGAAGCTATGAGTTCCGACCAAAACCGCTGCTTCGGTCTCTGGGCCCCGTCCGTTTTTGACGTCGGGGGGCGGACGGGCTTTCATGTCGGATTGGGGACTCAACCAGACGTGAAAACAAAGCCGGACTGACCTAGACAGCTGACAGCCACAGGCTCTTTTCGTCTTGCAAAAGCATACCTGAAAGACATTGGAACACAACTGTGGGTTGGCTCACAGATCCGAGGTCCTCTCGACAGCTGCTTTTCCTTCCCTTCCAGGACGACATGTTCAGTCTAGTCAAGTTGTCAACCTTGAGGATGTTCCACGAGAAAATACTCTCGACGACTGTTCGTCTGGGTGAATGTAGAAGGCCTGAGAATCCTCTACAAATGCAAGGATCTTACAGCAAGATTTATGAGTGCTGAGTGAAACCACTATCACATGATCAAAGAGTACTGTAAATAACACAAATGGGAAACATATTTTAAACAACAACATTATGCAAAGATATGCAAAGATCTCTGGTTGCAGCAAAGGGGGGTGGACGCAGGTACCCTGGATGTTCAAGCTCAAACCTGTGCCACCCCGCTGATAGTTGCTGTGCTTCTACAAGATGAGATGAGTACAAGGCACAGCCAGCTACTTCTGCCATTTGAGATCCACAGAACATCCGAAGATTTTGCTTTATCTGTGTGTGTAAAGATGGATCTCAAATAGTAAACAATAGTAAACTGTCTCCCTCCAGCAAACAGTTGAGCCTAGTAGTAAGTAGTAGTAGGTATATAGTAGTATATACGTTATATAAGTAGTAAGCAGTGATGGTAGTGGTAGTACTGTAGTAGTAGTAGTAGTAGTAGTAGTAGTAGTAGTAGTAGTAGTAGTAGTAGTAGTAGTAGTAGTAGGAGTAGGAGTAGGAGTAGGAGTAGGAGTAGGAGTAGTAGGAGTAGCAGTAGGAGTAGGAGTAGGAGTAGTAGCAGTAGTAGCAGCAGCAGCAGCAGTAGTAGTGGCAGTAACAGTAGTAGCAGTAGCAGCAGCAGTAAGACAAACAGGTATGTGCAGCTTTTGAACAGGTTGCGAGGATCTTGAAGGGAAGCAATAGCTGAACAATAGGAACACACAACTCATTTTGTTTCCCACTCCAAGTTTGTTTGTGCATTATTCCTACTCCCTAAACAACTCATATAATTCACTTCCCTGAAACATCTGTTGGAGCAATGATCTTGCTGAGCTTTAATAAGGTTTTTGAAAAAGGTGTTCAGGTCAGAGGTCCAGGAATCAAGCAAAGCCTCAGAAGAGGTCAAGCACGGGTCTCCAAAGGCAACCAATAGCCAAGCAAGAGAAAGCACAAACAGTGAGCGAAAAAAAGAAAGACAACAACAACAACAGCAACAACAACAACAACAACAACAACACCAACAGCAGCAACAACAACAACCCCAACCCTGGGCGAAACAGCTCTCTCTTATTTTTCCACCCCCCACATATTCACAGTTGGGAATCATTTTAGGGACACTTTTTACTATTCTCCCCTGATGTCCGCTGAGAGACATCAGGTCCTGTCGCGCTGAGACTACTCCCTCCGCCTTCAGAGCCATTGCCCGTCGCCCTGCAGCCACTGGCCACCACACCACTGGGGGCTCCGGGCGCGTCCAAGTCCTTCGGCCGCAGCAACAGCAGCTGCCGCACCGCCGACTGCAGCGCAGTGCCGTCGGCCTGGAGCACCTCGCGGGTTCCATGGGAGAAAAGGATAGAATCACGAGCTGGGAACTGGGGGCTGGGAGAACCACCCTGGGGGCTGGTAGAACCACCCTCCGGCTTCTTGAGTCTGTCGTTAGCCCATGGAGTCAGTTGGATGTCGCCTCGTGAGGCTTTATGCACTCGAAAGAACCAGTCACCACATCCATGCTAATGCCCCCCAAAAAACAGATCCAAAAAAACACTTTGCAAGATGTTTCTTGTCGTTCAACGCCAGAAAACGCGAAGTAGCCATGTAACGGCAGGTAGGCGCGGTGGTAAAACAAACCAAGCAATCAACCGACGCCAATTGTGCCAGCAGGACCACCGCTGCTTCCACGGCTTTGAGGATACTTGCCACATCCAGTTCGTTCTGCACGCCCGACCACACCTCAGGCTAGCCAAGAACTTGACAACCCAATGGGGTGGCAGATGTTCACTTGTACCTTGGGAGATGGGGAGGCTGTCTCCTCAATTTGGTTCTTTTTTGGATAGGGGCACTTGGGGATGCAAACAAAGAGGGTCCATGGTGATCCAGTGTGTCTGAGAGCGAAAACAAAAGAGGCTGCCGTGCCAAACAATGAAAACAGGGGTAAAGGCCAAAGCCATCCAAAGCAGGAGAGTAATATCCTTTGTGATGATATTATACCCATTTGCTCACCACCAGAATACAGAGATCTCTGAGATCTCAAAGACCAAAAGGCTTCCAGCACGGAAAGCAGCGACTTCCACTCTGCGTAGGGACTTGAGGAATGGTGAAGGTTTGTTGGCCAGAATGGGTCACCAAAGAAACCAACACGCGTTCCCAGTTTTAGACGATATGTCAAACGATATTTATGATCTCAAACTTGAACAACTTTCATGGGAAGACGGGTCTACCAAACAAACCTTTTCTTGGGGTCACTTTTTGGGGCATTGGGGTGGACCGTTTTGCTTGGGTCTTGTTGACCACATGAAATGACCCAGGCAAATCGCAGGCATGCTTTTTGGCTCACGGGCGGTGCTAGGCTGCGTTCCACTGCTCCAAGCAGGTCTCCAGTGCCAAACGTTCGCCCAGCAGCACTTTGGCCTGATGTGGAGCAAGAGGTCGTCCATGAACAGGATTTTGCGAAGTCCTCATTCGTCCAACCCAATACCTCTCCAAACAACCCATGGGGGGCACGAAATTGCATGGGCGAACGATGCAAACAGTCTCCATTGATCGGAGCGCCCCGACCAATAGCGGAAGCTCAAACCAAACAACAATTACATCCAGCATGTAACATAAATACAATCTTTGCCAAATGGCGGGCTGGTCAGTTCATAAGCTGCCTTCCGAATGATTCAGAATGGCCCCAATCCAGAATCGCGGCCATACAGGCAAGGTGCAACCCTGCTTCAAGCCACGCAGAACCTATAGAATCTAGAACAAAAGCCATCTTTATGGCCTGCCAAAGCCACCCAGGACCCAGGGGAGGGTAGTTTCAGTGTGGGATCCCTTCAAGATCCTTCAAGTCCCCAAAAGACCTCCAGCAAGTGGGGGTACGTCTCGAAAGGAGAGCCATCTCTCTTTTTTCTGACGTTTGCTTAGCTTCTCCCCCTGATCCTACACGCCGTTTTCACCTGTCGAGATTAGCTGGCCAGGGAAGGAGACTTCCGCCCAGCCCCAGCTGCCCCCCGCCCAGATCCACGGCACCGCCAGCGTCTCGCGGATCTGCTGCGGACCCTGCGACGCAGGCGGTCGCGGTCATCGGTCGCTGGATCAGTGGCGTTTCATGACCAACCCGTCCAACCTATGAGAGATTCCAGTCACAAGTTACATACAGTTACTGTATCAATAGTTGGTCAACTGATGTCAATTGGTTTTCCCCTGTTTTTCCCTCTATTGCTTCACTGGAGCTTCCATGGCATTCCTGTAGATTTTCTGTCAACGCAACTTTTGCTGCAAGATCTGCACATCGCGCTGGGGCCCCTGGGGGCAGAGGATGATGGGATGAAAAACAACGGATGTGCCAATAAGAACCCAGAAAGCTATATATGACTATATGAGGAACGTGTACCCGCAGCTTGCGTTCCAACCAATAAAGAAGAACGGCCAACGGCCACCATCGGGAGACCGCACTGACCGCGCTGTCACGGGGGAGTTTTCTCACACTGTCCGTGCCTGGCCTCCGCGGCTCTTTGCGCCTTGTCTTGCAGCTCTTTCTCAGCGGGTAGCTCCGCCAAAGCCTCCTTCACTGCGCCCACAATCTGCGCGGAGATTGGATAGAAAACATGTTTTTGGCAAAAAGGAGCAAAAAGGGGAACACCACAAAGAATGACATCCAATTATGAGACATGTAATAAACCACTACTAGTTCCCGTAGGTTGCCCGTAGTGTATTTGTACTGGGCAAAGGTTAGATGAAAAGCATAGTCAGGCATAGTCCTTTTGCCTTTCGCTGCACTAGGACAAAGCATAATCATGGGGCTTCTAGGGTACGTCTTTCCAATGATTCTTCTTGGTCTGCGAGTTTACTTTTGGGACTTGCGAAGCTCAGAGACCCTCAAAATCGCGCAAAATGGTGTGCTGTATATATGTATCCATGGTTACATAATAATATTTCATATACTTACATAGAGGATTTCTGGCTCTGGCATGGTACCTCCCCTGAACAATCAAAGCCACTTGCAACTTGTATAGAGCAAATTGCCGAAAAAACAATGACAACATATCACAACGTTCGTTGATATGAGGACTCAACTGCAAGAAACACACAATTTTTAACAACGGATATGTTTTGTGAATGTAGGTGTGCTTACATCCAGGATATATTAAATTAGGTGCTTTTGCGTATTCAGTATTAAGCTAATCCTATGGTCCTATAGCAGCTAGTGCCCTCACTAACCATTCTCTAGTTGATTCGCGCAGCTAGGCTAGGACATCTCCAACCTCACTATTCCATCAAACTGCGCCCTGCCAAAAAGAAACATAAGACTCACTAAGGACGTGCACTTCCAGTGCTTCCAGGCAAAAAAGCAAGGACCACCCAAACACGCAAAACGCACCGAAAAGGCGCAAGAAACACGCAACCACTCTAGTCAGGTGGTCACGGTCGCACCTGATTCTTCACCCTGTCTTCGTTCTCTGCGCTGATGGGCTTCTGCAACGCCTCGTAGGTCGCGCGCGGCTCCGCGCGCCAGGACTTCAAGGCCTCCGCGAGGGGTCCGTCCTGCCAAAGCTGCCGGTGGATCCGGCCCTCCAAGCACCGAAGCCACCGTCCAGGCAACAGGATTGGTCTCCAGCAAATCAAATCAGGTGATAAGCGCCCGGAACATGGAGTGGGAACTGGAGTGGGAATAAAGACCTGGCGTTCTCATTCTTTCATAAAGGTCATGCTTGGCCAAGGCAGTAGGGCCATAACCACATTACATGGTCTGGACCCGCCCTTTGTGGATGACAACAAAAGAACGAAGGCTTCAGGGAGGTGCCTTCAATCCAACAGCAACTTGCCCTTGAATACCTGGAAACTGCGAAACGCCATCCAAAACGAAACCAAAGAGGCAATTCCAAGTGAAGGCTGATTCAGCGTGTCATGGCCTGTGGCGTTCCCAACTGTTCAATTGGGTCTTTCGGAACAAAGACTCAAAGACTCACAGAACTCCCCCACTCACCCTTGTTACTAGTAACTTCTTGCTACTAGTAGCGATGCACTTGTTACTAGCCTGCACACCTTTAGAACGAGATCTCTCCAACCCTCCCGGCCCTCCCCACTTCGCACGGTCCACGTTCCTGCGAAGCCCGCCCACGTTCTCCGAAAAAAAACATACGGTCCTCGGGGCGCAGGTTGGCCAAACGCAGTTTGGGTGCCATGGAGCGGCATTGGCTTCCAACGGGCCGCAGCTCGTGCCAGAAGCCCTGCGTGTCTGAAAGCGAGAGAGTCTACGGATGAGGTGGAGGTTGCCGCGACGTGGATGTGGCGGAGATGGGATTCACGACTGGCGAAAGGAAATCCAAGATCAAACAAGCGAGCTTTGCTGAACAGCTTTGCCTAGCCTAGTTTGCCTAGCTCATTTACATCAGCAAGGGGAACGACACGGTCGCTCATTTGATCACTTATATAATTAGTGATCATGGGGAGCTGTCAACAGAACGTGGCAAATTCTGTTCCCAGTCTTGACCGAATGACATGTTCGTGTTTTAGTTTTGACCGGTGAGGTGACGTGGCGGGTGAAACCATGCAGCCAGGGAGGTTTGGAAAAGGATCTGGCCGTCACTGGCCGTTATGAAATTCGTATGTCGCACATGTTGGTGTGATTTTTCGGTGTTCCTACACCGGGAAAACACGGCATGCCATGGCCTGAAGCCTGGAAACTAATTACATCTCATTACCATCCACTAATTCTGATGAACGCAAAACCAAATTGCAAACATCAAGATTATAACTGTTTGAGCTCTGTCACCAGAAACCTACGTCGGCCCTCTGGAGGCCTCTCGTGAGTACGTAGACTAGAATCTTGAGACGAGAAGAGGTTGTTTTTGTATGGCAGTTGATGTTTCAGCCCCCAAGTCCATGCTTCAGGTGCCCGCTGCTTCGCCAACCAAAAACCATCCTCCGACCCACAGCCACTTGGCCTTCACCCGGTTCGCCCCATTTCTTCGCGCTCCCAGTTGCACCTCCAGCACAGTAGGGTCGGCTCCCAGAGCTTCAAACAAGGCCTCCAGACTTCGTTCCGACTTCGAAGGCAAAGACACGTTCCCCAAAGCTTCAAAGACCGGAGCTTCGCCCCAAAGTGAGGAATTTTCCCCCATGTTCCTTCTCCTGACCGGGTCGTTCTAAAATCACCTGACCACGGTGTTTTTCGCCGTGGTTACCCCTATCCTGGAAGTGGTGCCACAAGTTTTTGGGGCGTTCTCCATCATTCCATATCATTCCCAGTCCAAACCAAACTCAAGAACCTCCGGCCTATGGACTGTCCAAACCACTTGCCGCCTATGTCGTCGAAGTCAACCTCCGTCATCGTCAACCCGCCTATAGGTGACGTCGACATGGATAACCGTCTCATCTCATAATCACATGACAACATGTTATTAAAGCACGAATTGAATCCATTGATCAACATCTTCATCCAATTGATGTCCAAGTTATGTGGGTCTCATAAGATCTCATAACCTTTTTGTTGCCACACATGACAAATCCCCAATTCAAGCCGATTGAGTTCCGTTTGGGAAGCCTTGTCCTATTCAGGTTTCTCATCTACGAGCAAACTGAGTAAACCATATCCCTGATTACTCAGATCAACCTGCTTGGCAAAGACTTCATCAAACGAATTCATCCCATCCCCACATCGTCGGCAGACTCCCGGGCTGCCTCACCTGCTTCTGTTTGGCCATGCCGTCTTCAGCACTGACACCTTCAAAGAAGACCGGACG